TTAAAAATATTAATACTTAATTAATAAATAAATGTAATAAATGAAAAATTGAATTAAATAAAAAATTAAAAATTAAAATTTCTCTCATAAAAAAATAGTTTCTAAAAAATATTTTTACATAATATTTTATTCAAATTTAATATATAGAGATTAATTTAGAATTAACTAATTATACTTATCATTAAAGAAACAATTTCAAATTAAAATTACGTAAATCTAACTCAAAATCAATTGTATGTTAAAATGCATCAAATGGGTTAGTCATACTATCTGTTTAAAAATATTATATAGTTAAATATAAAACTTTGATATAAAATAGTTTTATAACTCATAAATTAAAAAGAATAAAATAAAATAAAAATATATTGGAATTAATCTCAAATAAATTTAGCTTAAATAGTTAAACATGTTTTGACACAGCCTAAAACTAATAATTTAGATTTAGATGATAAAATATAAATTCAAGTATAGCCATAAGTATGAAGGAGTTTTTGTTTGTCTTTTATTAGAAAAGAAGAAAAAAGAAGAGTCGTGGGTATAGTGGCCCTTGTTTGTACCTCTGACTCAGTCCTCAAGCTCTGCTCATGCATGTACATCGCTAACAAAGAGAAAAGTCTAGGGTTTTGGAGTCAATACTAATTATTAGTTTTGGCCTATTATGAAAAAGCAAATGTTGATAACAACTTTATGTTAATGATTTCTCAATAAGGATAACGAGAGATGCAGTTGCGGTCTACATACACATTTTTAATAGCTTGATATGAATTTTGGAAATAAATTTTTCCCTTGACAATGTAATAATATTGGGGACAAATATTTATCAACTATGAACAAAAGTGAAGGACAAAATGTATCAAGTTTGCCAGCTATTATGTTAATAAACTATAGACTCTTTTACTTGTCGTATTGATGTTGACAAAACCATCTTCCCTGGAATGATTAAACGTCATCATATATTCTAAAGTAAATTATCATATACCTGGGCTCAAATTGAAAGAAACGCTAGAACCTCCTTCTAGTTTTTTTAAGATCGACTTCATTTGAGTTTTATAATGTGGTTTACTTGGATTTTAAAAGAGTACATCATCTCTCAAATAACGACTAGCTCTTAGTTAAAATAAACAAAACAAAATTCCCTTTTTAAATTTAATTAAAAGTTTAGCACATGTGTATTTTTTTCTTAATATATTAAACCACATTGAAATTCAAATTTAATATTTTATGCATAATAATTCAACCTTCTATCACTAGGCACAATATATGTGAGAAAAAATGAGTCGGTAAATATTTAATTTGAGTAACCTTATTTGCTGCCTAAAGATACTTTGATCCTAGTTTTTCTCCTACTCTTTTATTTGTTTCTAACTTATTAATTACTGTTCTTACCGGAGATCTGTTGTAGAGGTGATCCGTCGAGTAAGATTGGTGAGCCTCATTCATGGATACGTTGGTGTTCCAAGATGGGGGTGGTACCTGCAAAAGAGACTCCGATGCTAAAGTAAGGGTTTGTATGAATATGAGTCTCGTATAAATAATGCACGTACCTTAGTGTGAATTAGGATTGCGTTGGGCCTTGGGCCTGAGATCAGTTATGATCTAATTAGATAGCGGATCTCGGCTGGAGCGAGATCTACTGAGATCAGTTATGATCTGGTTGGATTGCGGACCTCGTTTAGATCGAGGTCTCCAAATGCGTGTTCCGAGGTCATTCCACGCAGCTGTGCCGAGCTTGAGCTCGACATGGCGGTACGGATAGTACACTAGCCCCCCGAGCTCCAAAGACCGTGGGTCGAGGAGTTTAAGACCGAGCTCGTCAGGGAGCAGTGACCTTTCACGTACGCCTGCCTGTCGAGGTGTCATGTGTCATATTTGTCGCTTCGTTCTTGAGAACGTGTGGGGGCGCGTTAATGAGGAGTGGCAGTTATGTAATGATGGTCGTGCTTGCCATAGTGGGGCTCATTAAATGAGTTGCCAGTTATGCTTTCTCTCTCCGACACGTGGCATGACCGTTTGAATTTAAGGAGTCTTTTTCTTTCTCTTTCTCTTGCGCCTCTTCATTCACTTTACTCTTTTCGTTTCTTCTTCTTCCTTAGCTTCTTGCGCACACTGCTCCCTGGGTTTTCGCTCTTGCTATTCCCGTTCTCGTTTCCGGTAACCCCGTTGTCGTTAGGGTTGTTTTCAAAGGGAGAGTACCAGGTACTTCCTTTCTGTAATCTTCTTT